GTTAACAAAATCCTAAGCCTCTGTTTGATGGGGATTAAAATCAGATTTTTAGTAGATTTCAATAAATGTTAATGAATGTGTGGCTGAAAAGTCAAAGGTCCCATAAAATATGTGGCTAAAGTTAGTTGTTAACATTAACTTAAATTAAAATTTAGATTTTAATTTTTACCAAACTGGGGCTAAATAATGATATTTTGGAAGCTCTTAAATGGCTGTCAACAGCAAATGAAATTATTTTTGAAAAAAAATAGGTGGACTTATTATATTATGATAATAAAAATTCAACCCCATAGATTATGCCACAAGTCTAGCAAACAACAAATGAACATAATGGAGCAAGAGGAATATAAAATATTGACTCTTGGAAGCTGTGCACATCCTAGATAAGTTATTAGGCTAACATACTCCCAGTAGTTTTTTCCTCCTTATTTTATTTTATTTGTGGAGCGGTTCTGGAGGAGAACAGGGATAAAGCCTAAAGGCACTAAACATATGATAAATAACCTTCGTATACTTGGAGTATTGAAAAAATAAGAGGGACCTCAGACTCAGTAGATCAATTTATTTAATATCTCCAATCCAACAGATATGATATGTGTACAGTACAATAGAAGAGCTGAATTGTATAGATTTTCATCCACAAACCGAACACGGTGCTCTTGTGCCTCTCCTAAGTCTTACTAATGCTTGGCAAAGTTTGATCTGGATAAGCTAGATGGATGAGTTAAGATCACATAAAATACCATTGTTTTGAGGAACTGATGTTGATAGCCTTTGGCTAAAGAAACTAAATGGTTTGAGGACAAAAATCATTGGAGCACAAAAACAAGGACACAACACGCTGAGATTGCTCTTACAAATTTTCGTTAGTATCTACAATCTGTTATTTTTGGCAAACTGTCAAGTTTTTTTTTATTCTGCAATCAGCCATAATCACCTCTCTTAATTACCACATCTTTAAGGAAATTATCTCCGTCTATCAATTAAAAGTTACTGTCTACTCATGCAACTACCCATATCTGCACTTTTGCGAGTTAAAGTAATTCATTTCCCACCCATATCTATATTTTCGAGTTTGACGTTTATGGTATCCTTATTGATGTTATTTTTTTGAAAAAGATTAAGAATTTATGCATGCACAACTATGCCCTGATTCTTGGTTAATTCTAGCAACAACAAGCTGATTTCTAATTCAAACATGACTATACATTAGAACTATGCAACTCAATTGGATAATCCATATATCTTATCATTAATAGCCCTCACTGTTGATTTTGCATTAAATTTTATAAAACTTAGGACAACTCCAGATTCATAATTCAAATGTAAACTTCCCATCTTTAACATTATAATTTAATTCTTCAAACTCCTAGGTAATCCGATCCCAAAAAAAAA